GGGGGAGGACGCGGAAGGGGGAGGGCGGGGCCCGGGCTTCCTGGAGGAAGCGGCCGCCGCACCCGCAGTCGGAGGTAGTCGAGGGGACCCCGCCGGGTGTAGGGGCCTCAGCGGACGTGGACCTCCAGCAGCTTGGGGTCCATGCCAGAGCTGTGGCGCTCTCAAGATAACTTGTTATTGCCTGGGGTTTCACTTCCGTGTTGAGCAAAAGCACCTCGTCGTACCCTGAAATAAGTTTCTAAATGGTAAATGCTAGGAACCACCCCCTCCAGCTGCTGGAGACGCCCTCCCTTGCGTTGGAGCTTGGGGTGCCGTGCCCTTCGCAGGTGACCAGGGTCTACACCGGAGGAGTTAAACCCAACCTGGCTTCACTTCAGCCACCTGCGTGGCATCCCAAACCTTACCTTGTAAAACTAGAGTTAATTAGGATCCAGTGAGGAAAGTGCATGGATAGGGCCTGGTTCTTACTATTTAAGCATCAGACCCTGCACTCTGAACCAGCCCTCACCTGTGTTGTATCCCTGTGGTGGACAACAGTGTATATTGAAAAGAACTGTTGAATCATTGATTCTATGACTGCTGTGCAGCCAGGCACATGCTAGAGTCTGTCCTGGATACCGAGAAGAGAATTTTAATGGAGGCAAAGACTTCAGAGCCAGAGTGGTCATGAGATAACGTGGGTTTTAATAAAGTACTGGGTGAACCTTGTGGGAGGTACTGCTTCAGCCCACCTTCCCATCACACTACCTGCTCCCTGAACCCCCAAACCTATGTCTCCAAATTGACCATTCTGTGATTGTTTCTGACTAGGAGACAGTTTTTGCCACACACACAAAAGACAAAAATACTGAGTGCTCTCAAACAACTGTGTCTTAAAACAAGTTTTAAAGGAAAAGGGAAGTACAGTTTTCCTGTCTTGGGATCAAGTCCTTCACTGGCACAAAGTAGATCCTAGTTAACTTTTGTTTCAGAGTCTGGGTCACTGGCATGTGACTCTTGGAAATTGAGGAATTAAATGAAATACCATTGGGGGGGGGGCTGGAGAGATGGCTCAGTAGTAAGAGTATTGGCTGCTCCCGCAGTGAGCCAGGTTCCATTTGCAGTGGGCAGGTAAGTTGCAGCTGGAGGGGAATCGGATACCTTCTGACCTCTGCAGGCGTTGCATGGCATGGGTATACCTACCTACATGCAGGCAGTACACTTGCACACATAAAAAAAGATAAAAATAGTAAATGAAAATTTTTAAAATATTGGAAACTTTATTCATTACTACAGTACTGGTCTGTTTATTTAATACTTAGATCCAGCATAAGAAATTGTTGAGACATATATGTGACGTGATGTCCGTATGGAGGTCAGAGAATGGCCTCAGGTGTCAGTCCTCACCCACGTTGTTTGAGAGAGGGTCTCTGATTGTTTATTGCTGCATATACCAGACTAGCTGCTTCCCCTCACTGCAGGAGCTCTGGGGTTATGTACGTGCACTGTCAGGTCTGACTTTACATGTCTTCCAGAGATATGAACTGAGAGCCTCCCACTTGAGTGGCAAGCACTTAACCCACTGAGTCATCCCCTAACCCAGCAGGTTTATATTTACAGAAGTGCATTGGGAATCATAATTTACTCATGGTTGTGCCTTCCCGCCTTTCAGGTCGTCAGGTATGCCTGCGGGTTCAAGTGCTGCCAGTGGCAGTAATCGAAGACTTCAGCAGACACAAAATCAAGTCGATGAGGTACTGCTCTGGAATTCTAAAACTTAAATTTTAAACATGAGAGTGCTCTCGGAATCTGTTTAGAGAGTGGGTCATTGGGCTGGAGAGATGGCTCAGGGGTTAACAGTGCTTGCTGCTATTGAAGAGGACCCGGGTTCAGTTTTTAGTACCCACATGGTTGGCTCACAACTACTTGTAACTCTAGCTCTAGGGGATCCAGTGCCTTCTTTGGGCCTCCGAAGGCACCTGCACTCATGTGTACATACACACACACACACACACACACACACACACACACACACACACACACACAATTAGAAATAATAATCTCAGACTAAAGAAAAAGGGTCAGCAAGGAGCAGAGATTTTTGACTATAGGAAGTGTGTCCAAAATCTGCCTTCTGCTGTTCCAGAAGGCACGTTTTAAGCACAATGCAGATCCTCCCAGTTTCATACTTTTCTGTCACCAAATCACATACTTAAAGCATAAACACCTGTCCCTGAAAACATTCCCTAAGAGCCTTGGTAATTAGATTGCTCAAACCAGAAACAAGTTTTTTCTGATCAGATCCTTTGTTTCAGCATGCTGTGTCCTATAGCCTGATTTACTAGTTACCTGGTATAGGCAACAGAGTTTTTCTCTGACAGTTGCTGAAGGACACACAGAAGGCAGATGCCAGCGGCCTGCTCTAGCCCAGCAGGTCTCTCTGTGTGGAATTCTTGAGCTAGAGGACCCTTACAGCATGTTCTGTTCAGATGTATATGTGCAGACCCACAATTAAGATTGTGTGAGAAGCTCAGACTAATACATATTCTTAAAAGCCATCACGGGCCAACAAAGATGTTGTTGGTCTTTCTTCTCTTTTTGTTTTAATGTGTGTATGAGTGTTTTGTTTGCACTGTGTGCATGCCTGGTGCCCACAGGGCACTGGATCCCCTGGAACTGGAGTTAAGGATGGTTGTTAGCTGCCATGTGGCTGTTGGGAACCAAACCCAGGTCCTCAGGAAGAGCAGACAGTGCTCTAACTACTGAGCAGTTTTATTTTTTTTGTTTGTTTGTTTGTTTTGGTCTTTTCCAGACAGGGTCTCCCTCTAGCCCCAACTGGCTTAGACTAGGGTTAGAGTTAGACTAGGCCAGACTAGGCTAGGGTTAGACTAGGCCAGACTAGACTAGGCTGGCCTTGAACTCATAGAGATTTGCCTGCCTCTGTTTCCCAAATACTGAGATTAAAGGCGTGAGCTAGCATTCCTGCCCAAGTTGTCTTTGATACCTTCGTTAAATCATACAGTAATATTTTAACCTGGTAGTTTCTATTAACTTAATTCCAAAACCATTGGATTTTTTTTTTTACATTATGTCAAAAAATCAAATTGTATCATTTTTTAGAAACCAAAGGAATTTTAGAGTTGAGTTTTTGTTCTTTGAGGTAAAAGTCCCATAGCATACAACTGACATTCTAAAGTCTGTCATGTATATTTAGTACTTAGTATATTCACTGTGTCGTGCAACCATCACTTTTCTGTTTTCAGAGCTCTTTGGTCACTCCTGAGAAGCACCCTGTAGTCATTTAGTAACCACTCACCCTTCCCCTGCCTCCTGGTTGCCTGGTAACCTCTCATCTGCTTTCTGTTTCTTTTGGTTTGCGTGTTCTAGGTATAGCTGGCCTCAAACTCACAGAGATCCGTCTGCCTCTGCCTCCCGAATGCTGGGACTAAAGCTGTGCGCACGCCCGCCCAACCTCTTGGACTTCTTTCCTTTAGCATGTTTTCAGTGTTCATCCAAGTTGTAAATATCAGCATCTTGTTCCTTTTTATAGCAGAGTAATAGTCTGTGACGTTTGTAAACAGCAATTTGTTGATCCATTCATCAGTTAATTGATAGTTGAGCTTTTTCTACCTCTCAGCTATTATGAATAATCCTGCTATAAACACTTAGGAGCAATGTGTTTAAAATCACAGTTCCATTTCCCTTGACATGTGTGTAAGAGTATTGTCAGGAGGCCACAGGGTAGTTCTGTGGTCACTTTTTGAGGAACTGCCCAGCTTTTCCCACAGTGCCCCTGTACTTTGTTATATTCCCACCAACAGTGCCCAGTGCCCACCCAGTGTTTGGAGTTTTGGGTTGCAGCCATCCTGTGATCAGGAGGTAGTATCTTCTGGTTTTGAATTATATTAGTGACACTGATTAATGATTAGTGGTACTGAGCATCTTTCTGTGCTTACTGGCCATTTATAGGACTCAGAAGAAGTGACTATCCATGTCCTTTACCCCCTTTTGTATTTTTTTTTTTTTCTGAGACAGAGTTTTGCTATGTAGCTCAGGCTGTCCTGGAACTCATTATGTAGCCCAGGATACCCTGGGTCTTGAGCCTCCTGTCAGCATCCCCCAAATGCTGGGATCTCAGGTGTGTACCACCACACTTGACTCCTTTGCAAGTTTTTAACTGTGTTGTCTTTCTGTTAAATGTATTCTGGGAATTGACCTGTATTGGATCATGATCATAGGTGTTTCCTTCCATTCTCTGTGCTGAGTTTCACCTTTTTTATGATGCACTTTGATGCAAAAAGGTTTTATTTTTTTTTATAAAACCCAATTTATGGGATGGAGAGATGGCTCAGCGGTTAAGAGCACTGGCTATTCTTGCAGAGGACCCCAGTTCAAATCCCAGCACTCATGTGGCGACTAACAACTGTCTTTAACTCCAGTTCCAGGGGATCTGACACCCTCTTCTGTCCCCCACAGGGCACTGCATGACATGGGTGCATTTACATACATGCAGGCAATACACTCATACATATAAAACAAAAAGAAATTTTTAAAAAAGAAATAAAACCTAATTTCTCTTTTGAGGTCTCTGTTGTTGTTGCTCTTACTTTTGGTATCAAATCGAAGAGCCTGGAGCCAAAGCGAGAGCTGTAACACTTTCTCCTTATGTTTTCGTCTACGAGTTTCATCATTTTAGCTCTTCAGCTTAGGTCACTGGTCTATTTTGAGTTATTTTTGTGTACTAGGACTCCAGCAGTGTTCTTTCATCTGTGGCTGTCTATTGTCCAGCACTGTTTGTTGAAAAGAATATTCTTTACTCCATTTGATGCTCTTGCTTCCCTTTTCCAACATCAATTGGCAGACTGAGTGTGTAGCTCATTGGGGCATCATTTACCTAGTATGTGCGAGGACATGGGTTCCTCCCAAGCACAAAAACAAACAAATAGTATGGAAGAAAATCAAGTGAACTGGCCTCAGATGCGGAAGCCGACTTCTAGGCTCTAAGTTCTACCCACTGGGCTACAGAGCTGCCTTCGGTCAGTGTCAGCTCTGATGCGAAGCTCTGGTGTGAGTTTTGAGCCTGGTAAGCGTTTTTCAGTACTCACTTCCCTTTTCTCCGCTCCCTGAAATTACGTTTTTAAAAAAGCCACTGATACTGGCATTATATGATGATTTTTCTGAGGGAAAAGAGCTGTTGGATTGCATTGAATTTGTACATCATTCTGGGGAGCACTGCCATCCTACAGGGTCAAATCTTCTAGTGTGCAAACACGGCTGTCTTCCCACGTCAGCAAAGCTTAATTCTTAGAGCGGGTGTGGGGGTGTGGGGATGTCTGTGTGTCTGTGTCTGTGTCTGTGTGTGTCTTTATGTTGTTTTGCTTTTGAGACAGGGTTTGTTATATACCCCAGACTGGCCTTGAATTCATGATCTGTTTGCCTTATCCTGCCAAATGCCCAGCTTACAGCACTGTTACAGTTTTTTGGTATTTCTTGTGTAGGTGTAGTGGGAGCATGTGTGCGTGTGTAGAGGCCAGAGGTCAAAGTCAGGTGTCTTCCTCCATGTTTTTCCACTTTAGTTTTTAAATTTTATTATTTTTATTTTATGTGTATGCGTGTGTTGCCTGCATGTAGGTAAGTGCACCCATGTCGTGCAATGCCCGTGGAGGACAGAAGAGGCTGTCAGATCCCTGGGACTGAAGTTATGGACAGTTGTTAGCTGCCATGCGGGTGCTGGGATTCAAACCTGGGTCTTCTGCAAGAACAGCTGGTGTTCTTAACCGCTGAGCCATCTCTGCAGCCCTTTCCACCTTATTTTTAAGACAAGGTCTCTCACTGAACCTGGAGCTCACAAATGGGGCGGGCTAGCTGGCCAGCGAGTCCCTGAAATCCTCTTCTCTCTGCTGCTGCCAGTGCTGGGGTTGCAGGAATGCGCTTCCACACCTAGCTTTGTATGTGGGTGCTGCAGACCCATACTCAGGTGCTTGTGCAGTAAGCAGTTGACCCACTGAGCCATCTCTCCAGCCCCAAGGTTTTTCATTCTGCAAGTCTTTCACCTCCTTGGTTAAATGTATTCCTAGCAGGCAACTGTTTTCTTCCTTTCCTTTCCAGGTTGTGCATTGTGGCATATAGAAACATAGCTGGTTTATGTGTGTACCTTAGATATAGAAACACAGCTGGTTTATGTGTGTACCTTAGACCCTGCAGCATTGCTGAATTTATTCACTGTAGTACGTTTCAAATGATTCTTTTTTAAGATTTATTTTTATTTAGTATGTGTTTGCAAGAGTGAGTGCAGATGTGAGGTCAGAAAACAGCTCTCTGGAGTTGGCTCTCCTTCCACCTGTTGAGGCAGGGTCTCCTGTTTCTACTGTGCTGTTCTATGTCCTCCAGGCTGACTGGCCATGGGCTTCCTGGTGATTGTCCTGCCTTCCCCTCCCATCCTACCTTAGTACTGGCTTTACAGATCTGCACCACCACATCCAGCTTTTCTTATTTTTTTAATTACATTTGTTTTGGGGGGTGCCATGGAGCACAGGTGGAGGTCAGAGGACTTGTGGGAGTCACTTCTCTCCCTTCGCCATGTGAGTCCTGGTGATCAAACATTGTCAGCTTTTTGAGGCAGACAAGCACTTTTACCCACAGAGCCATCTCACTGACCCTTTTGGAGAAGCCTTAGAGATTTTCTGTAGCATGGCTTACAGATAGAGGTAACTGTCTTCCTTTCCAACTCAGATGCCTCTTCCTTCCTTAACTTACTGCTCTGGCCAGGACTGTGAGTGTAGCATTGAGTAGCCATGAAGTAGCCCTGTTCTGTTTCTGATCCTAGGGGCCTGAGTCTCCTGCCCATTATCAACATCTCCTTATACTCTTGGTTTGCTGAGTGGTTTTATCTCCCCCTTTTTAAATGAAAGTTTGGCCTCTCCCCCCTTTTAAATGGGAAAGTTTGGCTCAAAGTAATAAAATGTTTACCTGGAAAAAAAAGTACCCATAGATATCGTCTGGAATTTCGGTTCTTTCACTCCATTATGTATAACTGGAACCATATTCATTCAGGTGGTTGACATCATGAGAGTCAATGTGGATAAGGTGTTAGAAAGAGACCAGAAGCTCTCTGAGTTAGATGACCGTGCAGATGCACTGCAGGCGGGTGCTTCTCAGTTTGAAACAAGTGCTGCCAAGTTGAAGAGAAAATATTGGTGGAAGAACCTGAAGGTAATTGTAATTCTCCCCTACCTGACTGTTAATCAGGCCTAGGGACGCCTACCCTGATCTGACCCTGACTGTTATATCAGACCTAGGGACGTCTACCCCGATCTGACCCCCTGACTGCTAATCAGGCCTAGGGACATCTACCCCGATCTGACCTCCTGACTGTTAATCAGGCCTAGGGACGCCTACCCTGATCTGACCCCCTGACTGTTACATCAGGCCTAGGGACGCCTACCCTGATCTGACCCTGACTGTTATATCAGACCTAGGGACGTCTACCCCGATCTGACCCCCTGACTGCTAATCAGGCCTAGGGACATCTACCCCGATCTGACCTCCTGACTGTTAATCAGGCCTAGGGATGCCTACCCCGATCTGACCCCCTGACTGTTACATCAGGCCTAGGGATGCCTACCCCGATCTGACCCCTTGACTGTAATCAGGCCTAGGGACTTCTACCCCGATCTGAACCCCTGAAGGCCTAGGGCCATCTACCCTGATCTGACCTTTACATCAGGTCCCTGCTCCGTTCAGCGTCCTCAGGGGGTACAGCTGTGGGGTTTATGACTCTGAGAAGTGAGTGGGTTTTGGGGGCTTATTTTGTTGTTTGTTTGTTTGTTTGAGACAGGATCTCCCTATGTAGACCTGGCTGGCCTCAAGCTCATGGAGATCTGCCTACCTCTTCCTCCTAAGTGCTGGGATTAAGGGTTTGCCCCACCCCACCCATCTGGGAAGTGGGTTTGACTTTACCTATGGGCATGGCCGACTGTTAAGTCTGTGTCCCTTTTCCTTGCCAGTCCAGTCCCATGTTTTGTGGCTGATGCTGAAAGGCATGCAGAATAGGACTGTCCCAAACCAGTCATGGCCAGTAGTCCCTTCCTTCCCAGACCCCCACAGTGCCCTCAGCACACACTGATGGGGGAATGCTAGCATTGATTCTCAGTTTCCAAGTCATTCTGGGAATGGCTCCAGAGTTGAGGGTGAAACAATAGGAAATCCCATCATGCTCTACAGCCATAGATGCTGCATGGCCCAAAGCAGATCTGGATGGTTAGCAAATGAATGCCTAAAATCAGAGCTCAGATGCTTCCTGATCTGCCTTATTCAGAAGGGACACGTGGGGCAAGCTCGGTAGCCTATATGTGGGAAACTTGAGTTTCTCCAGGGGCCACAGAGGATTGGAATATATTTTAGAAAGCAGATAAGTAAATTTTAGACCCTAATTAAAACACTAAATTTAGGCTTTAGAAATTGTGCATTATTTCACACTGTGGCCAGTGCTTTTCAATAAGCATAGTATGTCTGTCTGACTTTGCAATGTGAAATGGACCTGTGTCTTACTGCAGATGTGGGCGATAGGGATCAGCGTCCTGGTGATTGTCATCATTATCATCATTGGTGAGTAACACTGCTCACAGATTTTTGTGTATACAGAGCAAAGGGTGAAGGCTAGCCCATTCCAGGGTTAATTTTTTTTTTCTTTACCAAGTGTTTTAAATACTTGAGTGTTTTGAAGGGATCATGGTGAGGGGGAATTGAGATACAGTCTCCCTGTAGAGTGCAGGTTGGCCTTGAACTTGTGATCTTGTCTCAGCCTCTGGGATTACAGGCATGTGCCACTACACCCAACCTAAATATATGAGTTTGTGTGATTAAAGTCTGAGGTTTTTTTTATATGAACACTAATCTTTTGAGGATTGAGAATTTCATTCCTACCAACTGGTTAGTTTTTCTCTCTGATACAGTTTTAGTCTTTATTTCTTTGTATGGAGTATAGTGATTAGGGCACGGGCCACCTTGATCTGTTCCAGGGCTACCACCGTCAGCTCTGTGGAATTGGGAAAGCAGTGTATTATCTTTAGACCACCATTTCCTCATCTATAAAAGGAGGACAATGATTGTATCTATCTTGGGTTTTAGGACAAATCTAATTAATATACACAAAGGATGATACTTGGCATGTAAAAACATAGTAACTACATAAATGAATACTATACACATGCACACATATCTAGGAGCATCTTACAGCATGACTTGCATAGCACATTGGAAGAACCCATTCCTTTTCTGGCCCAGTCTATGGGAAGCTTCTTAGTAAAGTGTTTCTTTCTTTGCTAGTTCAGTGTTAGTGGATGTTTCCTTTTCCTAGGAATGTATTTTTTCTTAGACCTTCTTTTGACTTTAGTCTCCTCCAGCCCTCTGTAGCATGTAAAGTGACTGGTAGGAAACTGACCAATGGGACAGGACCTGTTGTATATTTATGTTGAAGGACTAACCAGCCCTTTCCCTGTTTTCACGTCTCTGCTGCTCTGTAGTGTGGTGTGTCTCTTAATGAAGAACCAGTGAAGCTGGAGCCTGCTGTCCAGGAAACTTGTCAAGACTTTTGACTTAGAACCTCCTACATTATCAAGCTTACCTACTGTTAGTTCCAAATGATTATTTTGTTAGTTCATATACAGTCAGTCAGTGTCTAGGAAATGTGCCTTTGTTTTTTAATATGCACTCCAGACTAGAGGTGTGGCCAACCCCGCCCCCAAGTTGCACAGTGCCTTTACAGATTACAAATGAACTGGTCAGGAGGACTTCTCATGCTCCAGACTGCAGAACCTAGGCACGTGCTGTCCCTGCTCACTTGCCATCGATTCCAGGAAGGGGGTTTTGTTCCTCATCATCTGACATTCTCTTCAGAACCACATTGTAAGCCTTTGAATAATTAGATGTACATTTTGTACCTTCCAGAAAGAATACTACTGCCTAACATGAATCTGTGACAATAACAGGGTGTGCCTTATTTTGATACTCCCTTGTTTTAAGAGAACCCTCCTTTTTGTAAAGCACTACTGACTCTTGCTGTATTTAAGATGCTGTTAAAGAGCTTTTCTTCTTACATTAGATATGAAGATGTTTGCTTTCTTGTTCTTATGTATCAGTTGCTAAAATGGTATTTTAATCAGACATAACCCCTTTAAAAAGTTTTTATAGAACTATGACCAAAGTTTGTTTTGCCAAAAAGTTAAATATAAATAAAATATTATTAAGTCTGTCCCTGATAGATTAAATTCAAGTAAGTGCCAAATGTAACTCAAGATGCCCTTCAAGAAAGTGTTAATGCCATGTGAGCCTTCACCATCTTGATAGTCCTTCCTTGCCTGTGAAGTGCTATAGATAATGCAACCCCCTCAGGTTTGGAATCTTTCCCCGGGGCTTGGAGATGTGAGCTAAACTCATACCTGTAGATGAGACGGAATTTACCCAGCAGTTTGCCAACATAAGCTGTGGACTCCAGAGTGAGCAGCAGCTCTGTAGGCCTCATGTAAGACCATCTGTGAACATGATCATTACCTGGCCTAGTCCTTGTAGACCAGAGCTTTCTGAAGACCGCTTACCGTTTTCACTCACATTCCACTTCTGAATCAGCTTTCTAAATTATGCTTGGGGTGAGGCATTGGTCACTTTGGAGAGGAAAGCTGCCCAGAGATGCCCCCTGCTCTTTGGAAGTTGCTATCATCATGAGAGACTTCAGTTGTGCACATACTTGTATCAGGGTGTGTGGTTCAAAGGTGAGGAGTTCAGCATAAATGAAAACGGACAAGGAAACAGCAGAGAATTGCAAAGGCTTTGCTGCTCTGTGGCCAGTTTTACTAGAATGCCCTAAAATTTGTGTTTGCATGCAACGTGGCAGCAGTCAAGATGTCATAAAACCTGACTCATTTAATACCTGCTCCCCTGACATCACTGAAACAGCCGAATGCTGAAGGCATGCCTTGCGGTATGCCCGGCTGTGGGAAAGCAGCCATCGGCCCAGGGCTCTGTCTTGGGCTGATTCCATAACCTCGGTGCTGTCTCCTTCGTACTCAGTCCTATGTAACCCACTGGCTCCTGCATTAACCCAAGAATACCTCGCTTGTCTGTTTATTTAGCTGGGAACTTCCCTGCTATGATTACCTGAATAAAGTGTTTATTAACGTAATTCTGTCCCATGTTCCTTGGAAGAAGGGTAGATGCGCCTGCTCCATGTCCTAAACATGTACCTCTGCTGCTTCCCCCAAACTATATCTTCTCTTCTCCGTTCCCACTCATCCTTCTAGGAGTCGAAGGAGCTCGCATTCCCATAGTGAGTGGCTGCAGATAACACCCCAGAGGAACTGAACTGATTGAATGAATACACGTTCAAAGGGACTTATTTTATGTGTATGAGCGTATTGTCTGCATATAAGTGCCTGCATGTATGTAGGTGAACCCATGTCTTGCAGTGGTTCACAGAGGTCAGAAGAGGGTGTTGGATCCTCTGGAACTGGAGTTACTGAGGGTTGTTACCACCGTGTGGGTGCTGGGAATTGAACTAGGGTCCTCTTATCTGCTGACTCACCTCTATAGCCCTTAAAAGAGATTAGATTGGTTTATAGAATTTGGTCTGGCTAGTCCCAGCATGGCTGTCTCTCCCTGGAGAGGATGAGGACTTAGTGGTTTGCTCAGTCCACAAGGCGCCGTATCGCTGCAATCCCAGCCTGGTGCTTGAGGCCTGGAGGATTCCTGGGGAATGGTCTTAGCCCATGCTGGAAGCCCAGAGGAACCAAAGAAGGAATGCAGCAGCAGCAGGTAGATGAACAGGAAGAGTGCCTGCAAGCAGGCCAAGCAAGGCTTCCTCCCTGTCTCCTCTATCTGGGCTGCTGCCAGAAACTGCTGGTCACATTCAGGGCGGGTCTCCTCACTTAGATAATCTGATCAAGAAAATCCCTCACAGGAGTGTGCAGTCGCTTTAGTTGATTCCAGATCAACCAAGTTAACTACCACACACCCCTCGTCAAAAGTGCTTTTCATTGTGCAGTTTGGGGAGCTGGCTTGCACTACCAGAGTGGCCAGGATTTGGCCCTTGAGTTTCTCGGAGGTAGCCCTGGTACACCACACGGCTGAGTCTGGATGTGTGAGGTGAGGTCAGACACACAGCTTTGTCTTCATCCTGTATAGCTTCCTTCCCTTGAATACACTTCCCCTCCAATTCCCCAGCCTTGGAAATGACGTAATGGGCAGGGGGACAAATACCCCAGCCTCACCATGGTCTGGCTTTTCCTACCTTTCTCATTTGAGCTCACAGTTCAGGTTCCCAACAAGCCTGCACTGCCTCGGAGGAACCTGTCAGGGAGCCTTTCACTGGCTCTGCTGTTCAATCCTATCGGTCCCACCCACTTTCCCCACCCCCAAGGCGACATTTGGTTTTCCCTTCTCAGTGGCCCTCCCTCTCCCTCAAGACCATCTCCCAAGCCTCTGGCCTCCATCGGCCTCCCGCCTTGTCTCACTTCTCCCATCCCACTAGCGGATGCTATTTTCCATGCAGCATCTTGGGCTTTCTCAACTTCATGCTTTCCGTCTTTGTTTCAAAGTGTCGACTCCTCGAGTGGCAAGGATTGTGTCCATCCCCAGGATCTGCAATCATCCCTGCCCAGGTGTGCACTCAGTAGGTGCTTAATGGATGCCCTTTGAAGACCAGCGTGGGAGACAGGTGGTCTGTCCAACACGCATTGCGGACGACCGCCCTCTAGCTTAACCAGACCGCTTTCCCTGTCCCACAAATTCCGGTGTATTCCCGGTCTTGTAAGCTTCCGTGCTCCTTAAGGCGCTCTGCACCTGCGTGGGGGAGAACGCGCGGCTTCCGATTTTGCCAAATGCTGCAAACGAACCGAACTTTAAGCACAGCCCGGGAAGTGAAGTAGCACCATTAAACTTCCCTTTCGGAAAACCCGCTTGGACTCCGCCGGGTTTACCTAGAGTTGGCGGGAGAGGGCAGCAGGTATGATAAAGATGAAAACTGGGGGGACGCCAGAAGAAGCCCGAACTACAGCGATCCCAGGCTCACAGCACTTCCCAGACGGGCAGAGGGCTCTCTGGGTGCAGGCTCCACAACCACAGGCCTCTACGGCCCCGCCCACTCGTCCCGCCTCCTGCTGACTGGCAGTTCCCAGGCCCTGTCTCTGCCACGCAGGCAGCACGGCCCCGCCCCCGGGAAACCTGGCCCTTGCCTCCCGCAACCTGGCCGGAGCGTCCCCGAGGGGATTCCCGATCCGGCGTGCACTATGTAACGTGCTCACGACCCTCCCCCGACTTCTCCCGACTGCCCAGATTATGTAACCCCGCGGCGCCCCGCGCTCGAGCCCCGCCCCCCGACCAATGGGAGCCGTGCAGCCGGCCACGAGGACCAATGGCGCGGCCGGGGCGCGAGGCCGGGCCCCGCGGCG